CATATTTGGATCTTGTCAGCTCACCGCATTCTTTGCAAAAAACCTGCCTAGAATTTCAGTGGACTTTACATCCCTTTAGATGATAGCATCTCTGATTGCACACTTCTCCAGTCCTAAGAATATATAGACAATTATATAATACCAGGGTATCACCTTTTTTTTCGCCTTCCATTTATATGTATCAATTAATAATGTCAGGGAATTAATTTCATTTTAAACTTTTTCTTACGAATAATATACCTTGAGTTTTAATATAACTATAAATTATTTTAAATTGCTTAAGAAAAAAAAATGACCTAATCAGAGTTTCTCGACGCCCCTGCACTTTTTCACCCAGAGGCTGAAAAAGATAAAATGGAAGCCCAGGTAATTTGCTATTCTGACGAAAAATACTTGACCGACATCCCAACACTGGATGATATAGTTGCAGGAAACAATAAGGAATTAACCTCAAACCTCAATGATGCTCTATCCAGTTGCGAAAAAATTCCATTCATGGCCATTGAGAATAAAGGATCTACTGAAAGAATAAATAGAACGTACCGCTATGTATTGCGTCTTTATAGTCGCCTTATTAATAGCCAAAAGGCACTGGTAACTCTTACAGGAATTCAGGTTTTCTTTAACATTCACGTTCCAGATGGAGAGTCACCAGATGAATGCGAAGTGAGAGTGAGAGATATTATTTTCTCTGCTAAAGTGGAGACTCAGAAAATTGAGTATGTTAAAGCTTTCCCTTTTCGTGGCTACCATACAGAAAAAAAGTCATATTTACGGATTTATACAAGTGGTACTGATAAAAGAAAGACAGCTATTCAAGTTATCTAAGAAAAAAATTTCAAAACTGCTTTAGATAATTTATACTCATTCCACTGAAAGGTGACTCGAGAAAACGAAATCTAACTTTCCAGCTGGTCTACATTGAACAAATATATACGCAAGAAAGGCAAGTAAACCAACCCGCTCTGTCCACATGAATTCTTTGTATCTATAAAAGATTTCTGTTCACTAGAGGATTTTACGACAATAAGTGACCGATTCCCTATTTCAGCTCTCTTATGAGATTGTACTCTTGTCCTCACGTGAGATATCAAGACCTAATCTAAAAAGTTGGGTGAATTTGCCGAAGTCCTTGATCTGAATCATAATGTTTTTATGATTTGTATGACTTTACATTGGAAAGACGATCCAAAGCCACTAAAGCAAATATGTCTTATCGATGTTGAGGTAGAATCAGATTCGCGATAGACCACAATCATATGCGGAAACCAGGAAAATCTGCTAAAAGCGTTTGCTCCTTGCTGGCGAGCATTTGCGCCTGACATTCAAGTCAGATTCAATGATTCTGACTATGATTGGTCTTTTATTATGAAAAGAGCCTATCACCTCAACGTGCTCGAATGGATATGGAAGCGAATAATGGGAAAATTTGAAATAAAGGAAGAAATCCTAAAGTGGAAATATAAAGGAAAGATAGGAGCGAAATCAGAAATTGTTTTCAAGAAGAAAGGAAAGAAAAGAATACTGATGAAGAGGAGACCATATGGGGGTCAGGTGAGGAAGTTGAGGAAGTGAAAGAATACAGTGGCTTCCAAAAGAAACGCAAGTGGCATTGCTTGCCTTTAAATGCCTGTAACTCACTGTGCACGAATGCT